ATCCATCAGCCCCAGGGAAGGGTTGACAGAAGGTAGCACCCCCAAAAAAAAGGTCTCCTGAGCCCCCTGGGTCAGGGCAGGCTGGGTGTGATGACCCCAGCATGGGGCACTTGCCTTCTGCTGCTCCCCCCCAAGCTGCAGGGCTTTCCCCCCCCCCACCACGCTGCAGCTCCTGCTGGGAAAACCCAGGGAATGCCAGTGTTCCTGCAGCCCTGCTGCTGTGGTACAACCTCATCCCAGCCACCCCCGGGCCCTGGGGAGCAGCAGGGACAGGGCAGAGCTCCCAGGGGGTGCCCAGGGCACAGTCCTTTGCCTGCTCCCCCCGGTGCTTCAAGCCCCAAAAGCCACAGGGGCACCCACAGCCCCACCGTGAAGCTGCAGCAGAGGCATCTGCCTGATGCTGAAGTGGCTTTTCCCGGGATGATGAGACCTTTTCCTGCACCCAGGCTGGTCCACGGAGGTGAAACACAGGGGAGGGGCAGCACAGATGCTGAGCCCCCCCATTGCTGCATCCCTTCCCCAGGGGCTGCTCAAGCAGCAGAAACTGCTCCAGGCTGGGAACCAGCAAACCCAGCAGCCTTGGGTTTAAATACCAGTTATGTTTTTCCCCTGCTTGAACACAGCCCTGCAGCACCAGAGCCCTGAAGCTGCTCCTCAGCACCACCAAGCTCTGCTGCCCTTCAGCCAGTCCTTCTCACAGCAAAGCCTTTTAGCCCTGTGGGGAGGTGCAGCTTCATTTTCTGGAAGGCAGCCCGAGCTCTGCTGCCCTTCACAGCACCCACATGGTCCTGGGAGCCCTGCCTGCACCCCAGCTTGGGGGGGAGACCTGGGCTTGGGGAGAGGAGGAGGAAAACCCCCTCCTTGCAGCTGTGGGTTGGATGGGGAGCAGGGCTGGACCAGCCATGATCATCCCTCCAGTGACCCCAGGGGGGTGTTTTTTTTGTGATGTCAGTGGCTGGGATGTTTTTTTTCTTCTGAGAGATCAAAGATGTTGGTGTGGGACCAAGTCCCAGCTGCTGAGGGCCTGGTGGGCCAGTTGGTCCCATGGGGACAGTGGTGGTGGCAGGGGAAGAAAGCAAAAGGTCACTTCTCTGTGGCCAAAATTGGAAAGCAAAGTCCAGAGAAAGTTTATGTGTGTGTGGGGAGAGCAGCAAGGAGGGGTTGGGAGGGGAAAAAAAACCCCATCCGTGGGTGAACTGGTGGTGCCTGAGCCCCCGTGCAGTCAGGGAACCCCCCAAAAAACAGGCCAAGGACCTTAAACGGCCTCATCCTCAAGGGGCTGGCACAGCCTGTGTGGGCAGGGGCTGGGGCAGGTCCAGAGCCTCAGCAACCAGCACGGGTGGGGTTTCCAGGCCTTTTCTAGAGCTCTGTGAAGCCTCAGCCTTCCTGATCGATAAGAGTTGCCATTTCAAGGCTGTCAAACACCAGTGAGAGCAGGAGCAAAGGACAGGACATCCCAGACATGGCAGAGGAGGGCTCAGCCAGGACCTCTTTGTCTTTCAGCCGCAGCATTTAACCATTTGCTGGTGAAATGGAAATGTCCCCCCCATGTGCAGCCCCCTCAGCAGTTCTGTAACTTGCTTTTCCCTTCCTGGGTGCCACCGGGCAAAGCCACTGGGCACGGGGACACCTGGTGCCTGGAGGTGCCACCAGCTCCTGCAGCTTGAGGCAAAAGCTGCTTCCCAGGCTCCTGGGCTGGGGCTGCTGCTGCTGTTTACATGAAAATCAGGTTCTAAGTGTCCTCAGGGGGTTGCAGGGCTTGGTTACAGTCTGGAGAGAATCCCTGGGTAAGAAAAAGATGAGCTGTGGTGTGGGACTGGGGAGGTGGGGAGAGATGCTGATGTCCCTCTGTGCCTGTGGGTCTCAGAGCAAGGCTGCTGGGCACCTCACTTGCAGCCCCTGCCCAGCCTGGTGCTCCAGGAGCATCCCTGGGGAGGCAGCTCCCACTCCCATGGTTGGGGATTCCCTGTGCCCAGGCTCGAGCAGCAGCAGCAGCTCTTCCAGAGCCCAGCTTTGCTTTTTTGGGTGAAGCATCTTCTCCCTTCCCATCCAGCCTTTCCTGGCTGCTGGCAGGACATGGGTGGCTGCTCCCAGCTTTGGGGAGAGTCTTGGTTTTTGGTGGTGTTGTTTTCTGACACCTAGCAGGGCTGAGGACAGGGGCACCTGGACCCCCCCAGCTGCAAGGGGAGATGTCCTGGGGCAGGAGGAGACGTGATGCTGGGGCCTGGCTCCTGCCCATGGGGCCAACAACCCCCAAGTTAAATGGTGAAGCCTGTTAGAAGGGTCTGTTACTGAGGAGCTGAAAGGGAGGGAGGTGGGATCCTGCCATGCTGTTCCATGTGGGGCCAAGGGGGGTTTTGCAGACTTGGGACTGGTGATAAACCAGCCCTTGGTGTCAACCCATCACCCCATCACCCCCTGTAGTGAGCAAGGCTGAGGCCACAGGGACCGAAGCAGAGAGATGGGCACATAGAGCCACCAAAGGAGAGCAGGGATGGGGACAACTGTGCCAAGCAGTGCCCATGGCCCTGCCCAGCTGCTGGCAGGGGGGTTGTGCAGGGACTGGTGGCATTCTGGCCTCTGTGGGACCAGGTAGGCTGCGGTGCTGACCCCAGGAAACAAAGCTTTGTGGCACATTTTGGTGCCCACCAGTCTCCCTGTACCCCTGGGCGGGACACGAGCTCTGCAGGTCGGTCCCAGGGGGTCCCCCAGGGAGCTCTCACCCCCTGTCCCCTCTCTCTTTTCCCCCCCCATTGCAGTCACCTCTGAGCAGATCGAGCACCTGCACCGGAGGTTCAAGCAGCTGAGCCGGGACCAGCTGACGATCCGGTAGGTAGGGAGCTGTCCCGGGGCCTGTCCTGCCCTGCTGGGGTGGCCAGAGCATCCCCCAGGGGGTGATGCCCTCCTGGGGGGGTGAGGGTGCCTCGTTGGGATGCCTGGCTCCCCGGGCTGGGAGGATGAGCATGTCCTTCCCAGTCATCCCACTGCCACGAGCTGGCTCTGCAGCGTGGAGGTGGAACAGTGGCCTGAGAGCAGGGGGGGGTCCTGCCCAGGACCCCGTTTTCCTCCAGCTTGAAAATCAGTTTTGGGGTGGGAAGGGAGAAGTCCTGACACAGAGGCAGCTGCCCTGGGTTTGGCAGCTGCCTTTTCCTCCTCCTCAGTGCTTGTGCAGACCATGGTGCAACCAAGCCATGGATCTGCTTCCTTGGGAAAGCTCAGGCATGGCTGAGAAGCTTCCCCAGCCACACGAGGAGGCAGCTCAGCTCTTCCACCCCTGGAGATCATGTCTTGGCTCATTTGCTCCACAAATGGGGTAGCAAAGGGCCAGCCCAGGCTCAGCCTGGTGTCTGAGCAGCACAACACGGGGCAGCAGGGAGAGCCTGTGGGACAGAGCAGGGCAGAGCAGGCCAAGAGGAGGGTGGATGGCAGAAGCTCCTTCCTCATTGAGCCCCATTCAGGACCTTATTCCTGGGAAAACACTCAAAAAAAACCCCAGGCAGCCTTTTGCAGGTTGAGCCATTCAAAGGGCTCCAGCATCAGCCCTGAGCTGCTGTGTCCCAGAGCTTCCCAAGGACCCCTTTGAGTAGGGAGGAAAATCCCCTGGAGCTGCAGCAGGCACAGACTGCTGGGGCAGCAGGGCTTTGCAGCCTGAACTGAGGCAAATCAGGGTTTTCATGCAAAACCTCATCTTGTATTTCATGTTTACTTTGAAAGAATGAGGTTGGAGCTTCTGCCCCAGCCCAGCAGTGACTCCCTCCACCGTGGCTCCCTCACACTTGGGGCTGTCTCTGTTTCCTTTTGCAGCAAAGAGAACTTTGACAGCATCCCTGACCTGGAGTTCAATCCAATTAGGGGGAAAATCGTCCATGCCTTTTTTGACAAGAGGTAAGAACCCCCCCCAGCACAGTGGGGAGGGGCAGGTTGATCCTTTGATAGCAGGACGTGACCGGGCAAAGATCCCCCTGAAGGCTGGGATGGAGTGAGGGGGGAGAAATAGACATTTCAGCTGAGTCATGGAGATCAAAACAGCCCTGAAGTTCTGCTGAGGGCCAGGCTGGGCTGTGTGCAGGCAGGGGTGGGTGGGGGGTCCTGGCTGCCTGTCACTGGGGGCTCTGCTCTGGGCAGGAACCTGCGGCAGGAGTCAGACGGGCTGGCGGACGAGATCAACTTCGAAGACTTCCTGACCATCATGTCCTACTTCAGACCCATCGAGATGAACATGGACGAGGAGCAGCTCGATCGTTTCCGGAAAGAGAAGCTCAAATGTGAGGCTTGTCCAAAGCTCCAGGCTGGGGAGGAGGGGGCAGAGGGACAAGGGGAACCAGCCCCACCTTGACCCCTCCGCGCTGCTCTCGCCCCTTCCAGTCCTTTTCCACATGTACGACTCGGACCACGATGGGAAGATCACAGTGCAGGAGTACAGAAATGTAACGTATGGTTCCTCCTGCCCCATCACCACTGAATTCTTGGCCCTGCCTTTGACCTGCTGCCTCACAGGTGGTGGAGGAACTGCTGTCAGGGAACCCCCACCTGGAGAAGGAGTCGGCGAGGTCCATCGCCGACGGGGCCATGATGGAGGCTGCCAGCATCTGTGTGGGACAAATGGTGGGAGCTGGTTCCTCGCTCTACAGCAGCACAGAGGTGCTGGGATGGTATCCAAAACAGGGCTGGAAGGTGTCCATCCTGCCCAGGACATCTCCTGTGGCCCAGGGCTGCTCTGGCAGGCAGCAGCTTTCAGGGTTATTTTGTTCTAAGAGCCCCAGGGGGAGAAGCAAACAAAGCACCATCCTCAGTGCCTGGGGCTTGTGAGAAAGGCAGCTGCTTGCAGCCATGGTGGTTCTGGGAAAGAATTCTGGGCTGGCCATGGGGTGTGGCGTGTGGGAGGCTTGTCCCATAGCCCCAGGGGACCCACCCCCTGGTGACCCAGTGCCCCAAGACCCCTGCCCCATGGCTGTGGGGCAGCTGTAATGTTTTCTCTCTCGCTGCGCCCAGGGGCCGGACCAGGTGTATGAGGGCATCACCTTTGAAGACTTCCTTAAGGTTGGTGGCATCTCTGCTGGTCCCCTCCAGGAGGAGGACACCGAGTGGTCCCAGGGACGTGGGTGTTGGGGCGTGGGCCCCGAGCTTGAGCCCCCAGCCCCAGTCACCCCCTTCCCCTTGCAGATGTGGCAGGGGATCGACATCGAAACCAAGATGCACGTTCGCTTCCTCAACATGGAGACCATTGCAAACTGCTACTGAGCTCCACTCCCCCCTGGGAGCCAGAGGAGGAGGAGGAGGAAGAGGAGAAGGAAGAGGAAGAGGACTCTGCAGCAGCTCCATGTTCCTGGCACCAAGCACTTGGTGCCCGCCTGCGTGCCTGTACCCCTAGCGGGGCTGCCTTCTGCTCTCTAGAAACATTTAAGAGGCTTTTATCTGTAATAAAAGGTATTTCTCTTTTTACTCCTTGCTGAGCAATACTCAGCCCAGCCAGCACCTGGGGCTGGCAGGGTGTCTCCCTGTGCAGAAAGCCTCTGCACATCCTGGTCCTCCCTTAATCTGGACTGTTGAGGCTCTGCCATGTGCAGCTCTGGGGAAGGAGCTGCCCCCTCTGTGCTGTGAGCCCCCAGTTCCCATCCCATGGGAACCATATGCAGCCAGGGATGGGGATGCTGAGGGGCAGGAGGTGACTACTCAGCACCCACCCACCCTGTCCTCCTCTGCAGCCCAGCAGAAGCTCAAGCCAGCAGAGGTGGCAGCAGCAAGAGGAACGACCCCAAACCCACCCCAAAGCAGCCACCTGGGCTGGAGCCAGGCAGCAGGGATGGGGACGTGGGCTCCTGGCAGCCAGGTGGCTTCCACCCCCACGTGTTCCTGCAAGAACAAGGCACCAGAGATAAGGGTTTGTTTCCTGGCATTAATAACTGGATGGCTGGAGGCAGATTTCTGTCTCTAAGGCAGCCCAAGCTAGAAGGGAAAGGCAAAATAACAGTGGTTATTTTTAGAAAAATGGAGCCAGGCAGCAGGGATGGGGACGTGGGCTCCTGGCAGCCAGGTGGCTTCCACCCCCACGTGTTCCTGCAAGAACAAGGCACCAGAGATAAGGGTTTGTTTCCTGGCATTAATAACTGGATGGCTGGAGGCAGATTTCTGTCTCTAAGGCAGCCCAAGCTGGGAGAGAAAGGCAAAAAAACAGTGGTTATTTTTAGAAAAACTGGAAAGATTTGTTTGTTTTATGAAAAAAACAACAAAACAACCACCAGCTTTCCCTGGTGACATGTAGGTTTGATGGAAAAATTGCCCCCACGACAGCCAGGAACCAGCAGCAAAGGCTGAAAGGAGTGATGGGGACCCAGCCCCCCCACCCCCAGTGGGCAGGGAGCACCCACCCCTGCAGCTCAGGGTACAGGGATTGTCCCTCCTGCCCCCACCAGCAGGGGGTTCCTGCAGGGCCTGGAGAGGAAGGGGGAGCCGAGATGAGGTCCCTGCTCAGGTCCCTGCTGGGTCTGATCCCTTCCCACAGCCCCACGCCTTGGGGATGTCACCCCAGCCTGTCACCCCAGCCTGTCACCAAGCTGCAGGGACAGCGCTGTCACCAACCCCGGGGTTGGCATGTGGGGCTCAGCTGGGGCTGGGCAGTGGGTGGCAAGGGGGCTTCCAGGTCCTGAGGGTCTCCTGATGCTGTCAGAGGTCTGAGATCCTTCAGTCTTGGTCTGCTTTCTCCTGCAGACACCTAAATCATCTGGGCTCAGCACCAGCTGGTGCAGAGGGGCAGAGCATGACCTCCTGGCTGAGACTGAACCTCCTCCTGAACCTCCTCATCCTCCTCCCTGGGCCAGACCCTCAGTGCTCTCTTCCCTCCTCACACACAACATCCAGCTTCTCCCCAAAGCCCCAGGTTTGAGAAGCAGACACAAGCTCCTTCCCCTCTCTTCTCCCAGGAACTACCCCACAGACACTGCAGACCTGTCCTGCTCCCAGACCAGCTGCAGGCTCCAGGCCACCTGCCCCTGCTGCCAGCAGCTGTCCTGTGGGTCCAAGAGGTGCTTTTTTCCCCTCCATGAATGGTCCAGCAGAATGTCCCCTTCCCAGCAGAGCCCTTGCTGGGGGTGCTGCAGCTGGTTGACATAAGATCATAGAATCCCAGACTGGATAGGGTGGGAAAGGACCTTCAAGATCATCAGTCCCAACCCCCTGCATGGGCACATGGGACCCACAACACTGGTCCAATGTGTCCTGACTGCAGCTCCTCACCTTGAAGCCCTGCCCCCAGCCCCAGGCACCACCCAGTGCAGAAGAGCTGCCCCCTCCTTGAGTAACAACCTCTGGGATACAACAGGGGGCTGCTGAGACAGGAGTCCACCTTTGCCCATACCTACCACAAACTGGTAGCACTGATGTCCCAGGGAGTCCCCAGATGGGAAAGCCAAAGGTGGTATCTATCTCCAGTAAGACTGGATGGTGACTCCAGTTCTTGCTCTTGGAATTACTAGGGAAGAGGCTCCATTTAAATGTCAACTAAGCCTGGTGAAGATGTGAACAGTCCCCATTTGCTACACTCCAGCACCCACAGCAGCACAGTTTTAATGACAACCCAGTGAAGAAGGACAACATCCCTCTTGAGAAACAAAAATTCAACTCTACAACAGCCCAAGTGCCCTCATTTGCATAATGAATGGTCATTAAATACATAAATAAACTTCTGCTCTAGTAAAATATTCCTGAATGGATGTCAGTGATGGGAAAAACAGACCAAAAGGATCACCTGCCAATCAGAATCTCAGAATGGTTTGGGTTGGAAAGGACCTTAAAAATCATCTAGTCCCATGGGCATGGGCAGGGACACCTCCCACCAGACCAGGTTGCTCCAAGCCCCAACCAAGGAGCTGCATCCAGACCATGACTCCACAAAATGGTGGCTGTGGGGACAGAGCATTTCCTTCTCCACTGGAGGTGATGCCTCCAAGTACCTGGATGGTTTGATGTTTGATCCCCAATGATTTGGTCTTCTCTGCACAAGCAGGCAAACCCCTTCTAGAAATGCTGCAAAACATCCACCTTCCAGCAGCTCAGTGCCTGCCACACTCCAGGAGTAATCCAGAGGCAGCCTGACCTCAGGCAGTAGAGAAGGAGAGGGAAGTGTGGAGGTGGGAAGTGTGGAGGTGGACTCCAAGAAAAGGGCACAAGACAAACTTATCTACCACTTGCAGCTGGGAGATGAATAAAGAACAAAGCTGTTCTGAGATAATGAGATAAGGAGAGTCAAAGCCAGGACAAGCCCAGGGTGCATTGAAACTGGGCAGCAGGTCACAGCATGGAAGGAAAGAGAACCATGAGGGCAGCTCTCTCTGTTCAGAAGACACAGAGACCCAGCAGCAACCCACAAAAATCATTTGTGCTACAGAAACTACTATTTATTTGACAGGTCACAGCTAAGCTCTTGTCCAAACTTTGTATCCATGACACTTCTTGCTCTTCCAGGAAGGAGGAAAGGGAGCTGGCTTCCCAGAAAGGAAAAAAAAAATAAAAGACCAAAGCTTTATGAAAGACACAATGTATTGGTCATACAGACTAACTTGGCCTCTTTGTGCTTCTTGTGTCAGCCCATCATGAAGAAAAAGCTGTTAAAAACCAACCACACACACAAATCCCAGAATCCCAGGCTAGTTTGGGTGGGAAGGACCTTAAAGATAGATCATCTAGTTCCAACCCCCCTGCATGGGCAGGGACACCTCCCACCAGCCCAGGTTGCTCCAAGCCCCATCCAACCTGCCCTTCAACACTGCCAGGGATGGGGCAGCCACAGCTTCCCTGGGCAACCTGGGCCAGGCTCTCACCACCCTCCCAGGGAAGAATGAAGGTTGGCTTTGGGGTCATGGAAAAACCACCCCAAGCCAAAACCAAGCTGTGAAATCCATCTCTCTCCAGGCAGGAGGAAGGCTCCAAGCTCTCCAGGGCTGTCTGGGTGGCTGAAGTTACAGTCCAGCCACATCTCCTGCACCCCCCAGGGTGTACTTGTAATGGATTCCATGAAGCCAGTAAAAAGGTGTTAAAACTTAACCTCAATTTAAACTTTGTTTACATGGCTTGGGCACCAGGAAGTTTGCAAGGGTAAACCACAACCA